AAAAAATTATAAATTAATAAAAGTATAATTAAAATTAATTATCTTAAGAAATTTAATGGTGGCAAAAAAACCTTAACATTTGTATATCTAAAATGGGTAATTTTTGTCCATTGCTTTGATATTCTTGTTTTGTTGATGTCATATTGTAGGCTTACATTATTCTGTCATCCTAACAAATTCCACGTCGTACTTATTTGTTTCATTTTTATGTGAAGTAAACTCATACAATAGACTAATTCGGAGAAATTGGACTAAACCCAGTGTAAATTGGACTAAAACCCGCATAAGACGCAACTTCTAAGTTGTAGGGCTTGATCTTTGCCAACATGTCAAAGATTTCAGGCTAGGTCATACTTCAACTTTCTTATGCTTAAATCTTTATTTATTACAAGGGCAACTGGTTTTTCTTCATGAAAGCCGTATCTTTGTCCACTTTTCGTTCTTTTTTTCTTAATGGTTAATTTTGACCATTTAGAAGTTATGGTTTCTAAATAGTTTATCCTGGAATACAGATTTATGATGTTGGGAGCAAAATCTGGAAAACCAAAGGGGAGGAGCAAGAGGTTGCCAAGAAGGAATTCATCGAATGCTTTAAGGTACTGGAAGCAGAGCTTGGAGACAAGCATTACTTCGGTGGATCAAACCTGGGATATGTTGATGTTGTCTTGATCCCACTCTATAGCTGGTTCCATGCCTATGAGCAGTGTGGAAACTTCAGCATTGAGGCAGAGTGTCCCAAGATAGTTACATGGGCTAAGAGGTGCATGTGGAAGGAGAGTGTTTCCAAATCTCTTCCTGACCAGGAAAAGGTGTACGGATTCGTTTTGCAGATGAGGAAGAGGTTTGGGATTGAGTAAAATGGGATGACAAGTAGTCGAATTGTGGCTTTTTCTTTTCTGTGTTTCTGTTGGCCAATAAAAAGGGCACTTAGTTCAGTTAGTTGTGTCTCTGTGGCTGTTTGGATTGCACTGCTGTTTTTGCGTCTCTGATGTGTGGGTCCTTGGATGTGCCCATTGTTGTGTTGGATCTTTTGTTCAAGTTATTATTACTACTATTATTATTTTTTGGTATAAATTGTTTAAGCTATTATTAACTTGTTTTTTGAAAAAATTAAAGGATATTTAATAATTAAGTACAAAAGTATTCAAACCCACAGACATAAAAAGAATTTAGTAAACATGACTGAAATCGCATTTAAGGGTGTTTGCCACGCTTTGAAACTAAGCATCTACTTGGGTTTTGGACCCAATCAAGAAAAGAGTAAGGCCAACTTTCAGATTTTCCACTTAGCCAAAAGTAGGAGTGACTTTGAATAATCTTGAGCATGCTCTCTTCTGTCACTCTGCATTCCCCAAAAAAAGCTGCATTTCTTGCTGACCAGATTGACCAGACAACTGCATGCCATACTACCTGCCATCCCTGCTTGTTTCTAGCCGCCCACAAATGTTGAATGAAGCCTTGCCTACAGTTATTGTGCAGGACATAACAGATACCCCACCATTCAAAACACATTTTGACCATATTTTATAGGAAAAATCACATTTCATAATTAAATGGTCTGGAAGCATACCTTTATACTCAATTATTCGATCTCCAATCTTAAGTGTTTGTATGAGGTGATAAGAGTTTTGAATTTTATTATTGTCGTGAATTCTATCAAAAGTGGTTTGATGACTGCACGTCTTATTTGAAGGAATGAAATGTTCACTCAATCTGGAGATTGAATCCTTAATTACTAATAATTAATTCATACTAATTTTATAACTATTATCATTGTCAAAAAATAATAATAATAAATAAATGATGTGCATCTTCAATTTTATCAGCACAAAACACGCACCTTGCATCCATGGCTTCCTTGATTGCTTCCCTTCTCAGTAGGTTATCTTTACTCGGGATCCGGTTTTGCAATAGCAGCCAAGCGAAAGAGCAAACCTTGTTTGGCTCCATTTTGTTCCAGCATTTCTTCATAATCCTCGTACAGTCGTTTGTCTCACAAGATAATAGTAATTGATATGCTGATTTTACAGAGTATTGTCCTTTTTTTTCGTGAGACCAGCACCAGCTGTCCTTCTTTGCTCTCTGTGGATGTTTACAGCTGAGTAACTGATGCAGGTGTTCCACTTGGTTATCCTCCCATGTGTGCAGTTCCCTTCTCCATCGTAAGTTCCAGCTCCATGTGTTTCCATTCCAGTGGCCCATTTGTTGCACCGAGCTCCATTTATCTGTGCACAGAGAAAAAACTTTTGGGAACAAGTCCCTCAAGCTGTTATCTCTAGTGCACTTATTAACTTGTTATTTTGTTAATTAAGCTAAACTCTTTCCTTTCTCTCTAACCTTGGATTTATGTTATGTTGGGGGTTAGGAGAATGAAGGGAAGGAGAAGAGAATGAAGGAGAATTATATTCTTTCATTTTTTTTCTTTTTTTTATTTAAATAAATAACTAAATTAAAAAAATAAAATAAAGGTAATTTTTCTCAT